TGTGCTTCACTGCGTGGTTGCTGTGCTGCTCGTCTGCTTGCCATGTCATTCCTTGCGGTTGTCGTTGGCGCTGTGCAGTTGTGTTACCTCTGCAGCGTCGCCTGGTGCTCCGCTGGGTTGCTGCCTGCTGCCTGCTGCTATGTTCCACTTCGGGACAGTCTGCCTTCAACATGGGTCAAAGGGTTCATGACCCAAACCATCAACACGGAGATTCCACAGATTGTTGAGGGTTCGTTCTCCTGATGAGTCACTGCATCAGTTTTTTTTGTTTTTTGCTTTATGTTTTTTTTACTTTTTTTCCAGTTCTTTTTGTCTGCCTTGCTCCTTGACTTGTTGTCTTTCCTTCGCTGCCTAGTGCTGTTTTGTCTGCCCACCCACCTCCGCTGTGCCCTCCAGCCTACGTTCCTGTTGCAGCGTGACCGTCCAATGCTGCTCCTTGGCTTGTTACCTTTTACTTCGCTGCCCAGTGCTGTCTGTCTACCCACCTACCTCCCCCGGGACCTCCACCCTATGATCTTTGCTGCTGCTTGTCTCCCAATGCCTTGTTGTTTCTTGACCTTTGCCTTGCCAAGTTTTTTGCCTTGATGTTCTTGCATTGCTGCCGTTTGGCTTGGTTTCTGCGTGATGGTTCTTTTTGCTTCATGACGTTTCAGAGCTGGACATTATGAGCATTCGTTTTATGGGCGTATTGGCTTGCGGGCTCCTTTTTATGCTAAGTCCACATACATCCAGGGGGTCCAGCGTTTTAAGAACGCCCGACCGTCAGGAGCAGCAAATTTGGACGAGTTTTCGGCCAAAAAACTCAGTTTCAATTTCTTTCAAAAAATAAGAAATGTCCGTTTTGACGAAATGGCAGTTAAGACAGATTAAAAAAAAGAAAAAAAAAAGAAAGAAAGAGAGAGAGAAAGAGAGACAGAAAGAAAGAAAGAGAGAAAAAAGCATGACTGTGCCAGACTGCTTCATTGTACTTTCGCTCACACATCAGATGGATCAACCCCTTTAGTCTTCCCACAATGCATTTCACTCATAGATAAGGGCCCACCATGTACCCCAGAGTTAGTGGTACCCCTGATAAAGAAAAGTGGTGGACTGTACTCAACACGAACCTTGCAGCCATATTAGACTGCCATTCCAAACCCCTGACAAGAACGGCAGTAAGTCTGAGAAACTACCGTCTTCACCCGAATAGAACGCCCGGTCATTATACCTGTATCTGGACTCGAAATTGTACCAGATACGGCTATAATGACCGGGTGTTCTATTTGGGTGAAGATGGTATTCTGTCATAGACTCATAGCCACAAAACCAACTCTATACACCCGCTCAGCCAGGGCTGTCCATGGGCATGACCGATACCTTCTTCCCCCGAACACAATGCACCCTGATACTGAATGTATACAAGTTCTCTCTCTGGTTCGGTACTGCCATAATTAGGTTGCATTGTGTCGGGGGGAAAATGGTAGTATGGTCCTGGCCCGGCCACTTCGACCCCACCTGAACAGAGAGCTAGTGCGGACGTGTTATGTGTTGTCATGTCTGTGAGCGTGTCAAACCATTCCAATGGTCCCCCTTCTGTAACATTTCCGTCCTCTCAGAGGTGGCCCTGGTATTTGTCTTGTTCCAGCAAATGAATACACAACAGATTTAGTATGTTAGACTGAATCTCAATAGGGAAACAGTTGAATACTTAATAAAAAGTAATCAAAACAAAATCTGAACATTCAAGAGAAAAGAAAAGAATTAATGGTCAGATGGTGAAAAACGGGGTGAGAAAAAGAAGAACTTTGCCATGGCCTGACCAACCGACTGACAACAGTGGTCCAATTGGCTGTGAGGTAGTACGGGCCCACAGACACACACACACACACACACACACACACACACACACACACACACACACACA